AAGCAAATAAGTTTTTTATCTGACATCGAACTTTTGACGTCGTCCCTCAGGGAGATCATATTTTTGTATGGTATTTTGCGCACCATATCATTAGGGAATCTCCGTTCTTAATGGAGGGAAAAAAATTTCTCGAAACAGATAAGGGCCTACACTTTTGAACTAAATGGGGTTGGGTAGAAGAGTCACCCGGCATTTATTGATTTTATATTAAAAAATCATTGGGTTTTTTGAAACGTATTGAATTACATGACATATCGCTATATTAAAGTTGAAAAAAGTGTAACAAAAAGCTTCTTGTTGATTTAATTAATTATTTTTTATTCAAAGCATATCATGAATTATTAATTTATGGAAATCATGTCATGCATTATAATTGATGCAGATTGTGTAATTAATTATTATTTTTTTCAGAACAAAACAACAATATTACGTGAAAAAATTCCCCCCATCTAATTCACTGAACTGGTTCACTTTTAATCTGTTTCAGGGGGAATTTTGGCATCGTTTACGCCAAATTCTTATCCGATTTTGGTGAGCAAAGTTTGGTGATTTACAAAATTTGGTCATCACATATCTAACCCTGGGATGTATGTCGCCAAGGTAATTTATGCGTGTGACGGCGGGCAGGAGATTACTTTCCAAATGTCTGTATGTTATGTCCAAATCCTAAGAAAAAAAAAAGGATGAACCAAATATAGCATTTACAAAATATGCCATACTCTGTAACCTCAAATAAAGGAAATTGTATGATCGGAGCAGAAAATAAAGTACTGCAATATATTTTCAACTCTAACTTACTGAATCAATGGCAACCAATGCAGGAGAGGGAGAGGCGTAGTGTTACATCCGCCAAAGCATTCACCATACACATACATAAATGAAAACGAATATCGAATGGTCAAAACAAATGGTCGAATAATACACGATTTAATTTTGAAGTTCAATCTTAATGTCATGCTTTAATAACTCTGGCAGCGAATATGTCCAGTTGCACATGATTGGATTACAGTGTACATTACATGGTTTCTTTTGAAAGTCACGGGAGACTTTGGATTAGTTTTCTCAGGGAACACGAGTACGTCAACAACAGGTGTGAAAATCGGAGCTTGACCTCATTCTAGTAAAAAACAAGTGAAATCTTAGATACCCACTCGTTAATGATATTTTGCTGAGGTCGATGGCTACTCGACTGATTCATTTACAGTAAATGCGAACTTCATAGTAGTTACTGTACTATTTTAAAACTTGCTATAAAGACGCCCTCTAGCGACAAAAAATGCAAAATCAAAATATCAACAGACGATACTGCCCCTCATTACTACAATGAATCAAATCATTACATATGACCGAAAGAGTGCTTTTAATTTGTGATAAATCCTAATCAAGGGTATATCGGAGCGCAATTAACAAAAATAATACAAAATACTCAAAACTATGTGTTCTTTATTTCAAATTAAAGCTTAGTGTAGCACGACATATGGGTATGCTGCGGGGACATTGTTGTATCAGTAGCTCGCACAAGAACACCGCTTTGTACTGCCAATAGCTGGTCCGTTACAACGAACTTGAACTCGGCCCAAGAAAGTGGGAGACTTTGCCGAAAAGAATATTTATACCGGAACTGTCGGCACTAAGGATTATGGGAGGAGCGGGATGGTGTCCTCAATTCATCCATACCTCATCGTCCGCCTGCACGGTGTTGTTCCGTTCGGACATTCCTCCCTCTACAACACCGTGCGGTAATACCATTCATAACCGTGTATGTCACGTGGTTGCGCGATAGAAAGTTTACCGACCAATAGAATGCTTTGTTACAAACAAAGACTGCCAGAAAGCGCTCGGAGA